GATAAGATTTCCGTTTAATTTACATTACTAATTTTTAATTTTGATAAGCTAAGCTATACTATGAGCAATTATATGGTAGAAAATAGAAATACTTATAGCGAGCTTGCGAAGTATTTATAAATAGATAGGATTGGTACTTATGGATCTTTTGAAATATGTGAATGAAAATGATTTAAGGGTTTATAAATTGTTAATAAAATGTACATGAAAAAAAAACTAGTTTTTTTTTATGGATATGAGTGGACACATGATGTCTTCAGATTCGTTCAATTTCATACAAGAATACCCTATGGCACGATTAGTTAATCAAACATCAAATATGAGAAATTGAATATAACAATCTTTTTATTGCCAAAAAACCCAATTATCTTTATTAATTCTCTTAAGTTAGCATACTACTTGATAAAGGTGGCCTTGGATATATCTCGTTGTTAGAACATTTGTGTTGTTTTTTCTTCTCATGTACCAAAATAAATATAAAAATGCATAGCCATTTATTAATAATGATATACAAAGTTTCTTTAATTTGTTATCAATATTCTAACATTTCAATAACAGTACTACTTAGAGCTTGTTTAGAAGAAATTTTCTACAAGTAAAAAATATTTTTTTGAATAGCGTGTAGTTAAAAAGTAGTAAAAGTTACGAATCTCATAGAACGTGTGTTCAAAAATTATTATCAAGAAAATCTCTCCCAAACGTACTTTTAGATCTAAAGTACAAACTAATTAGGTACTTAGATACATATTAATCTCTTTACATTTAAGCGAAAATTGTTCACTTCTACCTTTACGTGTACTTTAGGCATCTTAAACTTAAGACCCTATTCTTTTAAATGACTCCTTAGTTTATGGAAATCAGGCTACACTCTCGATGCAACAATTGCATGTGGAAATCTTTCCAAAGAATCGACACAAAAAGGGAGAATGAGAGCTTGCAAGATGTTTCCATTTGTCACTTATTAAAAGGGGGTTAGTGAAAATTTACTAATATAAGACGACAACAAATGAACAATTTAATGGCAAAAATATGATGATTCAATTAATTAAAAATAATATTTTACGTGCCGTGCTTGTAAATTAAGCCATGTAGCATATCAAACTCACTCTACCCAACAAACAAACCCAGCTGCTCTAGCGACGTTAAATCCAACGTTACGTGCCGGTCGTCGCCATCTCCAAATTCTCTCAATTACCCCTTTCTCTATTGGACTTCATTCATTTTGACCACTCGTATTTTACTACTTTCTTCACTAGCTTAGCCCTAAAAATCAATTTTTTAATAGATTTTAATAAAAGTTGATTAAGCCTAAGATTTAGCTCCATTATTCTCAAAACTCATTTTCGATCAAACATTCTCCCATAAAATAATTTTACAAGTAAATTCAAAATTTATTTCTAATTTTAATTACATATTCTCTTTAAAATCATTATTCCAAAACCTATCTTCCCCCTCCCAAAAAAGAAATGGGCTCATATAGGGCATAAATGTGTGATTGAAAATAAATTTAAGGTAAAATGACTTTTAGGAACCAAATAGAGGCTTAGTTGTAATTCTATTTAATTCCCTTTACGATCTGACTTTGTCGAGTGGTTACCAAAATTCCTAATCGTGAATAGTCAACATACCCACTTTACTTCGATATACATTAATTTGAAGCAATTTAATCCTAAAAAATTTCAATAGAGCGAGCATATAGAATTCATCTTTTCGTTATAGCTATACAAATAGTCCACGTGCATAGAAAATATCGTATATTTCTATTAAAATCACATTTCTTTTAAAGTTTTTTAATACTAGTCAAAGTTGAAAAGTAAAATCTCGCTTTATATAGTTGAAATGTGAATGCATGTCATTATAGTTGAAATGTGAATTCATGTCATTATCCTTATAAGACTTCTCTTACCATTTGATCTAGATTTTGATCCTTGCAACAATTTTACAAAAAATGACAGAGATAAACTTATAAAGATCAATTTATAAAAGATTAATCTAATATAAAAACAAATTAGAGATCAATAGTACAATGTTTCTTATTTTATTTGTTGAAGGCGTTACATGGAATGCTCCTCACATTAAAAAAAATAAAAAATGAGCCCTCTAACTTTCAATTATTCCTATAAATTGCCCTCAATAAGTTTGAGAAGTTCCATTTTTAGTACATCCCTATATTAAATAATTATTTAAATAAAATTAATTTATATTTATTGATAATAAGGTACAATAGACTATATTAAAAGTTAGGGATAATGGCAGCTAAGACCCCAAACCTTTAAAAAAAGTTGCAAACTTCTCTCTAATCTTTTATTTCTTGCAGTCGTCACTCCAAACCTTTCAAAACATTACGAATGAAGTCCTAATGGATGAATTCCATCCATATTTCTGTTAGTTGACCAAAAAAATAGATTTTGACCACGTGTTAATCAATTATAAAAATGACAAAATGGTAACTTTATATTTTTCACATTAAAAAACTAAAATAAAAAATAACCAAAAAAAAAATGAAAAGGGGAAAAAAAAATTCTTCTCCCTCACCTGCACCCACACCCCAACCCCAACCCCTAACCTAAAATCGAAAATCCACTGTCACCACCACCTCGCCCGAAATCAACCATTCCCCCCACAACCATTGCCATGCTGCTATGCTACCACCACATCCCAAACAATAGCCACGAGAATACCTCCTTTATCATTTTTACCGGCCAAATTCGGATTAGCACTACATAAAATTGGTTCTTTAGATACAATCCCATTGGCATTCCCCAATCCGAACACCTCCTTCATTGTCTCCTCAGTCAAACCAGATTATAGCAAGATACAAGGAATCAACCACCACCCTTTTACACACTACACACAACATTCGAAACATTTGACTCGAAATTTATTGAAAATGAAACATAATTTGTTGTAATTATATTTCTTCAATTTCAATAAATTTTTTTATTGGCACCTTCATCTATTTTTTATGACAATAACAATATAAACACCATTATCCATGGAAGCCTCGAGTTGATCAACTTTAGCATTTCTCCGATGGCCTAAACTAGTGGCAAAAACTGCGGCCCTATTCGAGCTTGACACAATGCCATTTCCCATTACTTTTATCAGAATCTGAAAAGTCACCTAGAACGCTATGGAACGTTAGAAAGTTCATCTAACGCGGTACAATGTCAAATTTAAAATTTTATGCGTTACCAAGTTTACGTTCTAGATTACAAATTATTCGACCTTACCTACAAAATTAATACAATTAACAACAAGAATTCACCAATTCATTGTTGTTTAGATGGTTAAACATACAAGCCAATTAATTCTATGTTGAACTGTCGGTTTGCAATATGTAAAATAAACAAATCAACACAACTCACAGTTTGTTGATGGAGAAACCCAATGTAGAAAAAACTTCGGGACCAAGCCAGTGATGTCCACTATACCAATTCAGCAAGTACAAGTCATACCAAACTCTGTACCCAATCAGACCCGCTATTCCAGTCTCACAATCTACTGTCGTAGATACCTCTAACCTCCTGTTAGACTTTATGATCTACCTCTTTCAGTCTAATCTGCTATCCACTACAACCTCCTGATCCTTAGCTGATTGTATCACCAAATGGAATTCCAAGAACCACTTGTTCTTGTCCAATTCATTGCGCTTGACGTCCATATCTCTCAGTCCCTAATAAGAGAGTCACTTCCTTACAAAATTAAGGAAGACATGGTGATTTGGATTCACGAACTTTGATGTTTTCCAAATCCTTGATTGTCGGATCACAAAATGAAAAAGAATGAACTCACCAATGAATCTTGACTTGGATTGCTTGAAGATGATATGAAAGTGTATTCAATGTTAGCACAATGTAGCAACCTCTATCTCTTGACCCCAGACTTGTTTTATTTATACTAGGGGGTTAAATGTATCTTGGGTCGTGTAAAAATCTCGAAAAATGTGAATTAAGGTTTTCTGAATAGCATTATCGCTCGAGCGACATTCCAGTGAAAAGTGAGCAACACACTTTCGCTCGAGCGAAACAAGGGCGAAAAGCGAGCGACGTAGGTTCTACTTTTTACGCTCGAGCGATGGCAGGGCAAGAAGTTAACGAAATTTCGGCTTCGCATTCTTTATTTGATCCTTAGACTCAAACCCTAGTCCCTACCAAAACAAGTTTACAAAATTGTACCCTAAGTCCTTGACTTTTACAACATTGTTCAATGGAGTCCTCGACTTTTACAAATATACAATTTAAGTTTGTTTTTGTCTACAAAATTGCCAATTTCACTTTTAGATCTAACAGAATCCTCCACTGATTTCCTCTCCTAACTAATTTAGGATGTGGTGGTGGTGACGATGGCGACGATGATGGCAGTGGTTATCGAGGGTGGTGGTCGATTTTGGACGAGGTGGTGGTGACGATGGATTTTCAATTTTAGGTTACAGTTTGGGATTGGGGGTGGAGGATGATGGAGATGAAGATTTTTTTTCCTTTTTATTTTGTTTTCTCCTTCTTTTTTTGTTTTTTGTTTTTTTTATTTAAGTTTTTCAATGTGAAAAATATTAAGCTAACATGTTGTTCTTTTATAATTCATTAAAATGTGGTCGAAATCCAATTTTTCAGTCAACGAACAGAAATATGGATGGAATCCATCAATTATGGCTTCATCCGCAACATTTTGAAAGGTTTGTGGTGATGACTGCAACAAATGAAAGGTTAGGAAAAGTTTTGTAACTTTTTAAAAAAATTGGGGCCTCAAATGCAATTATCCCTAAAAGTCATTTAGCCCCTGTTTGAGCCCCATTATTCCTAAATTATAATGAGATGAATAGTATTTTTTTGAAAAATGAATAGTTGAAAAGTTTTTGATTTACGTGTAATATTATTTTATTAAAGATTGTGTGGTTAAAAGTAGGAGAGAGAAAAATTTAATTTAATGTAATGAGAAATAATGGGGGCAAACACATGCTTATACTATCAATGAATAAGAGGAAAATGAGACAACTTAAAAGAAAATCACGCGCTAAGACGGGGGAGTATTAACAACAGACTGAATAGGATTCAAACCGCCCTACCCCCCACCCCGCGCGCACTCCTTCTTGCTCTCTCCCTCACTCTGCAAATTTTTGGTCGGTCGTCTCCCCATTACATCTCAATTTATTAATATTTATCTCTATATATAATTCTGTATATCTGTATTATTATATATACAAAAGAGATAAATTTAAGATTTTTGATACTGTGTGATGAAAATGAATCAGATCCGTTAAATTTCATATCTATAACGAATGCGTTTGCAGATCTCCTACTTTTGTTAATTATCTGTGTATACATTTATACAGATAAATTTTGAATAGTTTCAGTTTGTGGGATTTATTGTACTGAAAGAAGATGTCGGCGATGAAATCAAATTCATCGGGCCGATTTTTCACGATTGGGTTAGTAGCAGCGTGGTACTCAACGAACATTGGAGTTTTGCTTTTGAACAAATATTTGTTGAGCAATTATGGATTCAAGTATCCGATTTTCTTAACCATGTGCCACATGACGGCTTGCTCGTTGTTCAGCTACATAGCGATCGTGTGGATGAAGATGGTCCCGATGCAGACCATAAGATCTAGGGTTCAGTTTATGAAGATCTCAGCATTAAGCCTTGTGTTTTGTGGGTCTGTTGTTAGCGGGAACGTTTCGCTTAGGTATTTACCTGTGAGCTTTAACCAGGCGATTGGGGCCACCACGCCTTTTTTCACTGCGGTGTTCGCGTATTTGATGACGTTGAAAAGGGAGGCATGGTTGACTTATGTGACTTTGATTCCAGTTGTCACAGGAGTCGTAATTGCTAGCGGGGTATGTATTTACATTTTGTTTGGATTATGGAGATATGTTGGATTTTTGCTTGTCTTGTTTTGTAAATCGAGATGTTGTTTTGTTGAATTGAATGTGTCTTTGTTTGTTTTGGGTGTTTCCATTGAACTCTGTGGATCTGGCATGATGATTTTTGTTTGATGTTGAAGTATTTTGATTGGTCTAACTGAAGTTCTAGGTGGTAATTGGCGTGAACCAATTATGATTTTGTTTATCGGGTGGCGGGGTTTCTTGTACTGTCGAAAAACAATGATCAGAAAATTATGTTTCTGATAATCTGTTATCAAGATAAGTAGGGGAAATGTCGAATGAAGGACTATGTTCTGTATGCTGTGTCGATAAAAAATTATTC